GTGTGTGTGAGAGAGTGAGTGTGTGTGTGTGTTTGTGTGCGTGTGTGTTTGTACCTAGTCATAATTTGAGCACAAATTTGTACCTAGAAGGGATTTTAAACCTGACAAAAACTTATTTTGGGGAGTCCTTGATTGTAAAAATGTTATAAAAATAAAGTAGATTATTTTTCAATATTTTTATTTTTATAAATTAAATTTTAATAATATTACATTTATAAAAATCCAAAACTTATTTTTTTAATAATTAAAAGTGCATAGAGTTTTGCTGTTAGGATTAGTGTGTAGGTTATGATTGGGTTACAGTATTTATAACTAGTTGTATATGGAAAATAGAGGTCTACTCTATAGTTAGTGTGTGTGTGTGTGTGTGTGTGTGTGTGTGTGTGTGTGTGTGTGTGTGTGTGTGTGTGTGTGTGTGTGTGTGAAGGTGGATTTGAACTGTTAAGGAAATTTTTGCATTAATGTGTATTTGGGGCAAGTTGTCACATTTAAATATTTTATTTTATAAGTAAATAAAACAGATTATTCGAGTACATTTTGCAAGAAAATACTGATTCACTTTTTCTACTTTAAAATGTCATGTTTAATTCAATGTGTTACTTGCTTATTTGTTTATAAATTTACTAGCAATTTCAATTGTTTCTACGTCTATTTTTTTTCAGTGAACTTTTTAATTGTAAGCCTTTAATTTTAAGTGTGTGTTAGTTTCTCTGGTTCCACACAGTTGGTTATCGTTGCTGGTGTGTTGGTCACTAACGCTCCCGTTGTGTGGGTTTGAACAGGGCAGGTCCTGGAGGATGAGGAGGATGAGGAAGAAGAGCACGCTCCGGAGCGCACCTGTGCTGTGGCCAAACCGGTGTGTGTGAACGGGACGGAGTCGGCTGCACTCAAGCCCAAATCCGAGCGGCGCTCCAGCTCTTCCTCCAATCCCTCCAGGAAGGGCATCTCCGCTGCCAGCAAGATCCGCAAGCTTTCCACCTGCAAGCAGCAATGACCCGGTGCTGCGCTGCACACCTGCGCTCCTCTGTACAGGTGAGACTCTCGTCACTGTGAGCGTTATGGGGTCACTCCGTTAGATATTTAATGTTTCTGAAAGAAGTCTCTTCTCAACAAGGCTGCGTTTGTTTGATTTAAAATACTGTAAAAATAGTGAAATGTTATTAGAATGTAAAACTACAGTTTAAGAGATTTTCACATAGAAAACATCTATTTATTTCTGTGATGCGCAGCTGTATTTTCAGCATCATTACTCCAGTCTTCAGTGTCACATGATCTTCAGAAATCATAATATGCTGATTTGCTGCTCAAGAAACATTTCTAATCGAGCATATTAATAAAAAAATATATATTAATTTTACATTTATATTCATAAATTTTTTATTAATAATTACATTATTTAATTTTAGTTTCCTTAGTAACATTATTGTCGATGTTGAAAACGGTTCATATTTTTGTGGAAACTGTGATGCATTTTATTTTTCAGGATTCACAGATGAATAGAAAGTTCAAAAGAACAGCATTTATTTGAAATGTAACACCATAAATGTCTTTACTGTCACTTTTGATCAATTTAATGCGTCCTTGAATAAAAGTGTTATTTTTTTTTTTGGTAGTGTTTTCAACATTGATGATAATCAGAAAGAGAGTGTGTGTTCAGGGTGGGGTTCCTCTCATGCTGATGAGATGCCGCAGTGAATGTGATGACTCAGTCTCCCTCCATCACATCATCTCTCTCTCTCTCTCTCGCTCTCTCTGTCTATGTCTCTCTCTCTCTCTCTGTGTGTGTGTCTCTCTCTCTCTCTCTCTCTCTCTCTCTCTCTCTCTCTCTCTCTCTCTCTGATGGAGCTGGTGACTCAGACTCTTCTCTCTCTGCGTGCATCTATATTTAGCGCTTTCATCTTCAGCTCTGCTCGATTGGATGCAGTTGGATGGAAACCTGTTTACACTTTCACCTCGCAACATGTGGAAATTGCAAATACAAAGGCATTATATTGCATTGTGTAACGAGAATGGCATGTAATGAATCAAAAGCAGATCACGCTGATGTTTACAGGTGAAAGAGAGGGCAAATGATTGGTTCATATTTCACCAAAAAGAAATTATAATTCATATAAAGAAAACCAAGCCTATTTTAACACCATTATTATATTTTTTGCACTGGGACATTGAGTTTCAAAAGCCCCTTATGATGATTATTAAAATTAAATCAAGGCTTTCGTCCACCCTGCCCGGTATGGGGTCGCATGCGTGACCATGACATGGAGCCGCATTTCGGTGGGCTCACCATTTGCCGGAGAGGCCGTAGGGGGCCGGTGCATTGTGATTTGGGCAGTGGTCGGGGCAGAGTGCCTGGCCGACCCAAACCTCGGGTACCAACTCATAGTTGGGCTCACTTCCACTCACAGCTTGGGTTCTGGAAACTCTCTTCTCGACCCTCTCCACTGGACTCTCCACTATTCTGGCGTTGCACAGGGTAAGAGCCGGCGGGCTGGTGTGGGCTTGTTAATAGCCCCCCAGTTCAGCCGCCATGTGTTGGAGTTCCCCCCTGGTGAATGAGAGGGTCGTCTCCCTGCACGTTGTGATTTGGGCAGTGGTCGGGGCAGAGTGCCTGGCCGACCCAAACCTCGGGTACCAACTCATAGTTGGGCTCACTTCCACTCACAGCTTGGGTTCTGGAAACTCTCTTCTCTACCCTCTCCACTGGACTCTCCACTATTCTGGCGTTGCACAGGGTAAGAGGCGGCGGGCTGGTGTGGGCTTGTTAATAGCCCCCCAGTTCAGCCGCCATGTGTTGGAGTTCCCCCCTGGTGAATGAGAGGGTCGTCTCCCTGCACATTCGGGTCAGGGAACAGTTTGCAGAGTACCATTTCCACTGGGGACTCTGTCGTTCTACTGGGGAACTTTAACGCCCACGTGGGCAGTGACAGTGACACCTGGAGGGGCGTGATTGGGAGGAACGGCCTCCCTGATCTGAACCCAAGTGGTGAGTTATTATTGGATACTTGTGCTAGTCACGGTTTGTCCATAACGAACACCAGGTTCAAGCATAAGGGTGTCCATCAGTGCACGTGGCACCAGGACACCCTAGGTCAGAGGTCGATAATCGACTTTGTAGTCGTTTCTTCTGATCTTCGGCCATATGTCTTGGACACTCGGGTAAAGAGGGGCTGAGCTGTCAACTGATCACCACCTGGTGGTGAGTTGGATTCGATGGCAGGGGAGAGGGCTGGACAAACCTGGCAGGCACAAATGCATAGTGAGGGTCTATTGGGAACGTTTGGCAGAGGCCCCCGTCAGAGAGGTCTTCAACTCCCACCTCCGACAGAGCTTCAACCAGGTCCCGATGGAGACTGGGGACATTGAGTCTGAATGGACTATGTTCCACACCTCCATTGTCGGGGCGGCAGTTCAGAGCTGCGGCCGTGAAGTCTCTGGCGCCTGTCATGGCAGCAATCCCTGAACACGGTGGTGGACACCGGAGGTAAGGGATGCTGTCAAGCTGGATAAGGAGTTATATCAGATCTGGCTGACCCATGGGACTCCTGAAGCCGCTGACGAGTACCGGCAGGCCAAGCTGAACGCGGCTCTGGCAGCCGCCGTGGCAAAAACTTGGGCCTGGGAGGAGTTCGGTGAGGCCATAGAGGAAGACTTTCGGTTGGCCTCAAAGAGATTCTGGCAAACCGTCCGGCGGCTCAGAAGGGGGAAGCAGTGTTCCGTGGTGGAAGTGGTGCGTTGCTGACTTCAACTGAGGATGTCGTCGGACGGTGGAAAGAGTACTTTGAGGATCTCCTCAATCCCTCCAACACGCCTTCAGTAAAAGGGGGCTGGGGGCTCGGGGGGCTCGTTCATCACCCTGGCAGAAGTTGAGGTAGTCAAAAAACTTGGCGATGGCAAGTCTCCGGTGGTGGATGAGGTCCGCCCCGAGTTTCTCAAATCTCTAGATGTTGTGGGGCTGTCTTGGCTGACACGCCTCTGTGGCGTTGCGTGGAGTTTGGGATCAGTGCCTTTAGACTCTCTTAAAAAGAGGGTCGTGGTCCCTCTTTTTAAGAAAGGGGACCGGAGGGTGTGTTCCAACTATAGGGGATCACACTCCTCAGCCTCCCTGGGAAAGTCTATGCCAGGGTACTGGAGAGGAGAATCCGACTGATAGTTGAACCTCGGATTCAGGAGGAGCAAGGCGGTTTTCGCCCTGGCTCTGGAACACTGGACCGGCTCTATACCCTCACTAGGATATTGGAGGGTTCATAGGAGTTTGTCCAACCAGTCCATATGTGTTTTGTGGACCTGGAGAAGGCATTCGACCGTGTCCCTCGTGGCATCCTGTGGGAAGTACTTCAGCGTGCACTGGAGATGTTTGCAGCTGATTGCGAAGCAGCGGGGATGAGAATCAGCACCTCCAAATCCGAAGCCATGATTCTCAGTCGGAAATGGGTGGATTGCCCCCTCCAGGTTGGTGGGGGGGGGGGAGGAGTTGCTTCCTCCAGTGGATTTAAGTTTCTCGGGTCTTGTTCACGAGTGAGGGAAAAATGGAGATGGTTCTCATTGCAGAACGCAAGATCCAGGGGGCAAGGTTGGATCCAGACTCCTCCTTCCACCTTATATATACCCAAACCTACTCGTCTCCAGCCCCTAGATGTGAATCCAACCCCGCCCCCTGGATCTTTGTTCTGCAGTTAGGGGCTACTGGAAAAATGGAGCGGTAGGTTGACAGACGACCCGGCCTCGGATAAGTGGAGGAAGATGTGATGAAACATTAATGAGAATTAGCAGTGAAATCTGCTGAAACTGTTTTTTTTTTTCTGAATTGATATCTTTGAATCCAGTTTTTTTCCCCCTTTAAATTCTGAGTTTTATCTCACAAATCTCACAAAAAAAAGTTTTTTCCTCACGATTTTGAGTTTGTCCCGCAGTTCTGACTTTCTTTTTCCCCTCACAATTCTGTCGGAGTTTTCACTTTTTTCTCCAAACTTCAAGAAAAAAAATCAGAATTGTGAGAGAAGTCAGTCGTAAATATCTGCAAACATTATATTGTGTTTTAATAATTATGAAAAGATGCAATGCATTACAATTACGTTATGAATACCTTTATGTTGTATTATACATAGACATGTTACCCAAGGTTCTGTCACCATCATGTGGTTTCAAATGCACTTTTTCATCTGTGCAACTCAAAGGAGATGTTGCTGGCCGAGGCTTTTTGTGACCTTTTAGGATGCTTTTTGTAATTTTTGGAGAGCAGCGTGAACGTTCTGTTAAACATCTCCATTTGTGCTCTACATGAAGCAGCATGAGAGTGAGCAGCTGATGCAGAAGTGTCCTGTTTCACTGAAGTATCGGTCATCAGTGTTTCTCTTAAAAGTAATGCATTACAGTATTGCTTTAAAAGTTACTTTTTATGGAGAGTAATGCATTGTTACTTTGTCACCTGAGCTGGGCCTGTTTGTTTTTTTTAATAACAAGAAAGCCTAAAAGTCATATTTGTGGCAACTGTAAAGGCCCTTTCACAGCAAAAGTGAACTGAATAATCCTCCGTCTGAAGGAAGAGCGTCTCGGTCTCTGCAC